TAAATTCTTGGTAAATTAACCAGTGTCTCCAATTGTTCTGTTTTAAAAGACTTTTTATTGAACTTACACAAATAACTATATTGTCATAAAACCACAATCCGGATTTTGGAGAACCCAGAGAGAAAGGTACATTTGTTTAAAAAACATACTTCACTCAAATAAAAAAAAAAAAAAAAAAGGTTTTCTTGACCTTCTTTAACTAGAGCAGCATCTTTCAAATGAGACGTCTGTTTACCTTGGAAATACCATTCACAAGCCAAGCAGCTCATGAGAGCTGTCTATCAGGCACTGTGGAATCCAACAACTCCCCCCAGAGTTAGAATTAGTCCTAGGAAAGGGCTCCCTGTTTATCAGTATCTCCTCCTTATATTTCCAGGTAGCAAGATTCTATGTAAACCATTTTTATTTTATTATGGAACTCTTTTGGGCATCACATTGTTTCTATTAACATAGGGATAGCTTCAATTAACATTCCAGATTAAGGCAGTAAATGGCCCTCAACTGGAAATTCTCTAGTACAGTCATTGCCATTGGGAAGTACTCAGTCTTTTGCCATCAGCCCCAGTAAATGTTCCACAAAGGATATGAAGTGGAGAATTTGTCCTGACTAGTATTCCAGCTTCTACCCTATAGCATGTGGGTTTAGGCAACCTTACCAGTTCCCATTTAGTGTGTCCAATTTCTCAAAAGAGCAGATTTACATGCCCTTAGTTTTATAGTACTAGAAAGGGGAAACATCCCCCAGTCAAATGCAGTACCCATTTTCATAAGACGTTTAGGTAAAAGGTGTTACAATTACCTTACATAAAGTTTGTTTAAACATTTTACATTTCATTATTTTATTAATCTATACGTTTATTAACCTGTACGTTTAACCTGTCCTGGTCCCAGGAACCTTTTTCTACCCCCAGACCATTTTACCTTTTCTGGTGAAAAAAGGTTTGGGTTCCTAGCGGCAAGTCGCATCTGCAGAACTCATGAGGGATGGCAAATTTGATAAGGCTTCTCAAGCAGTCGTTAGGATTCTGTGGGAGGGGCATCCATGTAAAAGGGACCCCCTCAACCTCTAAATTTACCATGACTTGGGTAATAGGCATATTTGGTGGGAGGATATACCAGTTATTCTAAATCCAGTTATATGGCTTGCATATGAAGCATATTAACTGCTTCATCTGAGGTGCTTGTTTCACTTGGTATTTTATACAGAGTTGGGCAGTCCCCTTCTCAGGGTAAACAGACATTATGGTGGCATTTATCTGGTCCACTAGACTAATTCTTCTCTCAGAAATGACCTCTTGTGCATTTGGATCATATATATTCATTAGTGATTGTTCAATAGTGAGCTGTGGGGTGCTGCAGCAACCCAAACAAGCTCTTAATTTCTGTAGCACTTAAAATTAAGGATTTTTTCCTTAAAGTGGTTATTTTTACAATCCACTACAGTAAAGTTTTTTTTAAGAAGCTGATGATACAAATCTACAAAATAAAACAATTTCTTTATATTATACTCTCTGGTTTTAAAGAGTTTTGCCCTTCCCCCACATTGACTATCTTTTTGGTACCCACAGGTCTGAGTTAACTTTTGTTGCTCTGGCTTAATTGTTCTATTTAGCTTTATCTGTATATATATTTTTCTTCATTCTAAAGCAACTCTTAAGTAGTTTTTTTTAATTAGAGAAGAAAAACCTACTTTCCTTTTTCAGCAAAATCAACATCCTTGTGTTTTACAAACTTCACCAAAAATGTATTTTATACTCCTATTTTAACTTTTAGTAACTCAAATTTGCCAGTGATAAAAACTGAGGTTTTAACATGACTTTAAGATTTTAAATTACTAGAGAGAGTTGAGATTAAATTTGCCAAATTAATTTTACCAAAGATTACCAAGATCATGTGAATTAACAGTCATCTGAGCTAGCATCTACCAATCTGATAAGCACTTACATTTTTAAAGTTACTAGGTTAGAGCTCTTTCATGTAGTTTGGTGGTGAAATATCACTTCCACATGACACATATAAAGATAAAGATATAACAGGCATGCAGAATTAAAAGGTCCACAAGATCTAATTTTATTGGCCTGTTTTCAAAAAAAGTTATCTCCCTTCAGATAATTTTGTTAATTATAACTATTATGAAGTTACAGGAACCAACAAAACGTGAAGGAGAGATCTATTATCCAAGGTCTTTTCAAAAGAGAAAGAGCTAAACTTGTGAGATACCAATCTGCAGAATGTCAAAGAGACACATTATAGAGTTTATAAAGTAAAAACATTACATTAAAAAGAAGTCAATATTTGTAATAAAATATTGTTTTAGCCAATTATTTAGTTTTGTATTCATTTATTTTTTAAATATCAAAGACCCATCTCTAGAAGGACTACTATAATTTATTCTTAATCATAGCCAACTGAATTATACAATTTTTTTAAACAAATCCCTTTTTACTAACCTTCTTACAACTTATATAAACCATTCACAACATGCTTAAATTTTCTGTTCTGTCCTAAATATCTCTGTTCCTTGAACAACTTAGTCATTTTATTTTAGGACACAAATTCACTACACAAGATTCTTTCTTACATAAGATCACTTTCCTTTTTGCCTTCTTTACCAAAAATTACCTCTTTATGTCTTATCTTTCTCTACATCTCTTATTTCCTAGTTCCTTTTACCTTGTTTTATACATAACCTTTAAATAAGCTAAATTAGAAAAAGATATCTACTGTTTAAAAAAAAGTTTTCCTGTAATTTTTAAATTGGAAATTACCCAGATACTTAATATTTATTAATAACCTGAGGTCCTAAATTATATGACAAGTTTATTTAGAAACACTTATTCCATTACCATTACCTGATTAATTTATTTGTTTACCTGGATTACTAACAAAAACTGTGACAGTCATTATTTATTTCCCTGTTAACTATTTTTATAGCTGTGAATTTCAGGTGTTTACTTCAATAATGAACTTATGATTAAATATAAGAGTATTTTTACCAATAACTCAAGATTTAGCTGTTTTCATTAAACTAACAATATTCCATGCCTTATTTATCAAAAATCATACAAGCAAAGATCATTCTGTCTTGGGCTGGGTTTTACAGTTTTATAACCCTATGGCTAATCTTATACTATTCTGAAGGAATAAGCATGAAGCCACTTGATCAATAAATGCAAACAAAAATACTAACAATTCTTAGAACATTTCTGATTTTTTTACGAATGATTTTAAAGACAGCTTATTTATTAAATATTTTACTTGTCACATTAACTTAAAAGCATTTGATTAGTATTTTTTGATAAAGTGTTTAAGTGCTTTTGTTTTTACTTAAACTAATTAGAGCTCTTTTACATATTTTTAGTAGTGAAACATTGTGTACACAACACATAAACATAGCATATTAGGCATGGCAATAGAAGTACATCTTATACATTTGTAAGACCTCTTTTTTCCTTAGACTTTTTTTTTTTTTAATTTTTTTTTTTAATTTTTTTTTTGAGACAGAGTCTGACTCTGTCGCCCAGGCTGGAGTGCAGTGGCATAATCTCAGCTCACTGCAAGCTCCGCCTCCTGGTTTCACGCCATTCTCCTGGCTCAGCCTCCCAAGTAGCTGGGACCACTGGTGCCCACCACCTTGCCCGGCTAATTTTTTGTATTTTTAGTAGAGATGGGGTTTCACTGTGTTAGCCAGGATGATCTCCATCTCCTGACCTTGTGATCCGCCTGCCTTGGCCTCCCAAAGTGCTGGGATTACAGGCGTGAGCCAAGGCACCAGCTTTCCTGAGACTTTTAAATTCATGATAGCCCATTTCATCACCCTACGCAGTTGTCAGCTAAATAGTCCTCCTACATTTACATATTAAAGGAAAGAACTCTTAGGTGAAAAACAGATAGCAAAATTTGCATCTCAAAGTACCAAGAGACAGTCTGGTGTGCTAGAGGGAAATTAAAATGGATTTAATCTGCCAATTAAACAAAATTATAGAAGTCTATTATAAAATCCTTTTAAATACACACACACACACACACACACACACACACATCCTATAGCTTTTACTTCAGAACTCTAGCCATGAGATAAATACAAATTCACCAGCTTGCAAAAAAAAAAGAAAAAAGAAAAAAAGTCAGATCCAAACAGTGGTTTTTATCTCAGTAGAAACGTAAAAGCAGATTTAAAGCAGGCAGAAAATATAGAGAAGAGAACTTAAGAACTCTATGGTGTACAGGTCAACCTTAGGGCTCTTTTCCTTAACATAAATGTGCACAAGGATCATTTTATTTCCATTTTACATAATCTCTGGCAAGTAGAGACACCATAAAACCAACAGAGTGCCCAAAATGGGGTCATTCTCCTTGTTTTCTCCTCATTCTTAGATTACTTGTTTCCCACTTTTTTTTTTTTTTTTTCCTTAAAAGTAGGAACTGAGCTGTGGCCTAAGGTTTTTGTGTGGTGGATCAATGTGTGCTGCTTGTGGGTAGGACCCCACCATGTGTCACCACTGAGTCGTTTCCACCCTTTTACATGTCTCAGCTTCTCTATCCAGAGGTGTATTACCTTTGAGAGGGCTCAAAATGACAGGTGATCAGTCCTTATATGCATTCCTGGACAAACTATTTTTAAAATTAATTTTTGTTGGGGATTTCCCCATAGGGCTGCTGCATGTCACAGGATGTCAATCCCCCAGACACTCCCACAAGGCCCCCAGTCACCCAGGAGTGCCTTTTGACTGGGAGGAGAAAATGCCTTTTCTCTTCCAAGCTTAGAAAACTCAGTCTCTCATTTACCTATGAAAACAACAGTTCAATTCGTCACACAAATGCGCAGACAAGCCAATCAAGATTAATTTTGGGAGAAAAAGCAATAAAGAAAACCCTTTAGAATGCATCTCTGAACTAGAATTAGAATCCTTAAACAACAACTTCCTAGGAGAAAAACCAGCTCACACTAAACCAAGGACTGTCAACCAAAGAGAGATCTGGGGCTCAGGAGGACTTACCAGTTCCAGTAGGGGAGAAGCTAGAAGTCTGGGAAACTTCAGTGGGCCCCACTGGTATCTTAGCTCTGAGTTCAGGCAACTCCTTTGGGGTCCTGAGTCTTCTCTGAGGCCCCACATTGGGTGCCAAATTATTGTTGATGAAGAGTCAAACTCTGTAAAATATTTGAAGAGATTTATTGTGAGCCAAATATGACTGACCATAGCCAGTGACACAGCCCTCAGGAGGTCCTGAGAACATGTGCTCAAGGAGATCAGGGTGCAGCTTGGTTTAATACATTTTAAGGAGGCATAAGACTTCAAGTTAAGTTCATTTAAGAAATAAATTTGTTTGATCCAGAAAGGCAGGAAAACTCAAAGAGAGGGAGGGTGGTTCTAGGCTATAGGTCAATTTAAACATTTTCTGGTTGACAATTGGTTGAGTTTGTCCAAAGACCTGGAATTAAAGAATGTCTTGGTTAAGAGGTTGTAGAAACCAATGTTTTATCATGCAGATGAAGCATCTGGATATGGTAGCAGGCTTCAGAAAGGAGACTGTAAAATGTTTCTTATCAGACGTAAAGTCTGTGTTGATGTTAATGCAGGAGAAGGATAATGAGGCATGTTCAGCCTCTACTTCCCCTTATGGCCTGAACCAGTCTTTCAGGTTAAAAGCCCTGGCTGAGGAGGAAGTCCATTCGGATGATTTGGTGGTTGGGGGTGGGGGGTGCCTTAGAATTATTTTTTGGTTTACCAAGTCTTGTGAACCATCAAGCCTCCCTCAGGCCTGGACTGGGAATTGCCAATTTTGTTAGGTGTGGTGGTGATACTATGGGAATGTTTAAAAAATAGGCCTTATTGTTAAACATACTCGAGTATTTAAAGGAGACTTTATCTACTGGGATGCTTTAAAATTACTCTGGAAAAAAGGAAAATGAAAGGCACGTGTGGGATGAAGCACAGACTTTTTTTTGTTGTTGTGCGTCCAGAATTGGTGGGTTCTTGTTCTCCCTGACTTCAAGAATGACGCTGCGGACCCTCGAAGTGAGTGTTACAGTTCTTAAAGATGGTGTGTCCAGAGTTTGTTCCTTCTTTCCGGTGGGTTCGTGGTCTCGCTGGCTTCAGGAGTGAAGCTGCAGACCTTCACAGTGAGTGTTACAACTGATAAAGGCAGCATGGACTCAAAGAGTAAGCAGCAGCGAAATTTATTGCAAAGAGCGAAAGAACAAAGCTTCCACGGTGCGGAAGGGAACCTGAGTAGGTTGCCGCGGGCTGGGGCAGCCTGCTTTTATTCCCTTATCTGACCCCCACCCACATCCTGTAGATTGGTCCATTTTACAGAGAGCTGATTGGTCCGTTTTGACAGAGTGCTGATTGGTGCGTTTACAATCCTTGAGCTAGACACAGAGGGCAAGACAGAAGTTTTCCAAGTCCTCACTAGGTTAGCTAGACACAGTTAGCTAGATACAGAGTACTGATTGGTGTATTTACAAACCTTGAGCTAGACACAGAGTACTGATTGGTGTATTTACAAACTCTGAGCTAGACACAGAGTGCTGATTGGTGTATTTAGGATCCTCTAGGTAGACATAAAAGTTCTCCATGTCCCCACCAGATTAACTAGATACAGAGTGCTAATTGGTGCACATACAATCCTCCAGCTAGATTTGAAAGTTCTTCAAGTCCCCACCAGAGTCAGAAGCCCAGCCGGCTTCACCCAGTGGATCCCACACCGGGGCTGCAGGTGGAGCTGCCCATCAGTACCTAGCTGTCCACCCGCACTCCTCAACTCCTGAGCAGTAGACCGGACCATGCGGCGCCCCCGGGGGCGGCTCGGCAGCGGTGGAGCCCACTGTGCGGGGCGGGGGGGCGGGTTTCGGGCATGGCCGGCTGCAGGTCCCGATCCCTGCCCCGCGGGGAGGTAGCTAAACCCGGCGAGAATTTGAGTGCAGCGCCAAGGGGCCGGCACTGCTGGGGGAGCCGGCGCAACCTCCGGAGCTGCTGGCCGGGGTGCAAAGCCCCTCACTGCCCTCAGCATTTCGGCGCCGGCCGGCCGCTCCGTGTGCGGAGCCCGCCGAACCCGCGCCCGCCTGAACTCGCGCTGGCCCGCGAGGGCCGCGCGAAACCCCGGTTCCCGCCTGCGCCTCTTCCTCCACACCTCTCCGCAAGCAGAGGGAGGCAGCTCCGGCCTCAGCAAGCCCAGAGAGGGGCTCCTACGGTGCCGTGGCGGGCTGAAGGGCTCCTCAAGAGCCGCTAGAGTGGACGCCGAGGCGGAGGAGGTGCTGAGAGTGAGGGTTGTTAGCACACTGTCACCTCTCAGCTGTTGTTTTAAAGCAAAAGGCGGGTCCCAAGGGAAGCTGGCTGTCGGGTGGGTTGCCATTCTCTGTACCCTTTCTACCTTGACAGCTCCATAACAAAACCTGCAGCCTCACGGGCGCCTCTCCCGTAGCGTTCCCACGGGGGCGGCCGGTGGGGCCCCAGCTGCGAGGAGGGCCCGGGCTCGCGAGCCTCGGTCCCCCACTTCCAGTCCCCCGGGCCCCCAGCGGGGCTCTGCGCTACCGGGGCTAGGGCGTCTGCTGCAGTCCCCGAGCACCAGGTCATCCAAGGTCCTGCCGCCCGGCCGGGGCGGAGCCAGGGACGCCCGGCCTTCCTGCTTCCTGCGTCCGCGGCCCGCCTCTTTCCCGCCGCCGCCTGGATGGGACGCGGTAAGCGCGGCCCTGTTCCGGGCGGGGTTGGGGCGGAAGGTGGGGTCAGCTGGGGCCCAAGAGGGGTCAGGGAGGCGCGCGGGAGAAGGCGCCCCGGAGGGGGTGCGCGGGAGGCGGGTGAGCCGGGCGCCGGCCCTGGGGGCCCGGGCGGGAGGAGGAGCCAGGGGGGTCGGGGTTCGGGGGACGCGGGGAGGGAAAGGCGCGCGGGAGATGAGGTAAACCCAAGGAGTCAGAGGGGCGGCCTGGGGCGGGGTGGGGCCACGCCCGGGGGAGGCCGGGAAAGGACCCAGGCGCTGGGGGTCGCGGGGGAGCGGGCCGGTCCTACCCTTAGGTGGCTGAGGCCGTTCCCCACACCGCCGCGGTGTGCTTTCAGCGGCCCCGTCTCCTTCCTGGCGTGCTCAGGGCACTGCTCCTGGTTGGATGTCGCACGCGTGACTCCTGCAGCGTCCGCGCGCAGGGAAACCCTCCCTGCCTCAACCAGACCTCCCGCCAGCCTCCGCCACAGGCTCAGCCCACTGTTCTGGGTGGGCTTGGTGCAAAACTCTGGTGAAGAAAACCTCCTGAGGTGCCCAGCCGGGAGTCTCTCTCAAAGTCCCACACTCTCTCCATCCAGGAGAGCCGGTGGGATAGGTCTCTGAAATTCCTTCCTTGCTTCCTTTCCTTCCCTTCCTTCTCTTCCTTCCCTTCCTTCCCTTCCTTTTCTTTTTTTTTTTGTTTTTTTCCTCTTTGTTCCAGTTTTTTTTTTTTTTGCATATAACTAGTGATCAAATCCCACTTCTAAGAAAGCCTTTTTTAGAAGGCTTTTACGCGAGTGGTTTTCAAACTGTGGTCCCAGGACCAGCAGCACTGCCTTCCCTGAGATCTGCTAGAAATGCGGGTTCCCCAGCCCCACCCTGACCTTCTAAATCCTAAACCTTGCGGGTGGGTCCCCATAATTGTCTTTAGCAGGTCCTCCTGGTGGTTCTGACCATTGATCTGAAACCTTAGGGCTTTGAGGAGTATGAACTGAGGGTGAAAATGGGCCAGGTGCCGTGTGATGATAATGCATGACTCCATTTAATCTTCATAGTTCTACACAGTAGGAAATATTACCCCATTTCGCAGATTAGGCAACAGAGGTACAGAAAGTTTAATTTTTCCAAGGTCACAGACCTAGAAAGGGGAGGAGCTGGGATTCCAACCTTAGGTTATGGCTCCAGAACATTCCCACTGAGGCGAGGTCCCCGTGAAGGTGGGGAGAGGTGAAGCCCAGAGGCCCTGGCGGCCTCCCTGCCAGGCAGAAACCATTAGTTCCAGAATGGTGACCAGCCAGGTGCGTGGTCAGCAGTGGCCCTGCCTGCCTGCCTTTGGGCGAGCCCTGGTCTGTATAAGCTGCTGGGACCAGGCCCCAGGGCAGGATGTATTCACACTGGGGTGCTGACCGGGCGCCCAGAGTCCTGGGTCCAAGGCCAGCCTCACAGGGTGACACAGGGATGCTTCTGAGTGGTAGAGTATCCGTTTCCTCTTCAGTCTGATGGGGACGGACACTCCCCAACCCCATGCTGGCAGCTGGGAGGGTGGGCAGCTTCAGACTCAGGCGTGGCTCTGACCTGTGGCCCCAGGTGGGCCACTACCTGCCCTGCCCAGCCCCTTTCAAGGCACAAGGGTCTCTGACCACTGCTCCATAGCAGGGTTTCTTGGCCTCCACACTACTGACATTTGGGGTGGGGCAGTTCTTTGTTGTGGGGGGCTGTCCGGTATTACCCACTCTTTCGGGACAACCAAAACCATGTGCAGACATTGCCCGATGTCTTCTGTGGGGACCTTGGAGGCAATGCCTCCACTGGCATCTTGGCTTCTCCCTGGGGCTCTGGGATGAGAGGTTTCCTGGTCCACAGCCTACTTTCCCACACAAGCCCACTCCAGCCTGTGCTTGGTTGTTCATCCGCACAAGCTGGCAGTGACACAGGGACATTGGAGCATGTTCTCCTTGCAAACACTCCAACGTTCAGGTGGAGCTGAGGGGCGTTTGGCGGTGTCCACAGCAGTGAGATCCCCCACCCTGCAAGGGGCACAGAGCAGGCGGGAATGACTGGTGCTGACACCAGCTGGGCCCTGCTCCCGGGTCACCCTGGCCAGGCCCTCCTCTGGCACCATGTGCAGGCGCAGTAAGGGTCGACCCAGGGCTGGGGCTCTCTAGGTCCAGCTGCATGCGTGTTCCCTGCACAAATCACGGATCAGGGCTGCGCCAGCACCTGCCACTCTGGTGTTTGCTGTCACCAGGCATAGTGGCCATGCACTTTTGAGTTAACCTCCTCAGGCACGTGTGTGTGAGTGACTCACCAGGACTGGGGCCAGTGAGGATGTGTGGCCTGGAGTGGTCACTGCCCAGTTGCCTCTGGCAGGGGCAGACCCAGAGCCCTGTGGCTGTGTTCCAGGCCCTTCTGCCCACCCCTTGCCTTAGTGGTAGTGAGGCGAGGTGCCTCACACCATTCATTTATTTATATTTAAAACATTTTATTGACACCTAATAGATGTACGTATTTTTGAGGTGTCTGTGGTAATTTAACACATTCATGTAACTTGTAAAGATCAAATCAGTGCAATGTAGACATCCATCGTTTTAGAGATTGGTCTTTTATTCCAGAAACATTTGAATTATAGCTATTTTGAAATATAAAATAGATTATTGTAAACTATAGTCACCCTATTGATTCATCAAACACTATTTCTTATTTCTTCCATCAAACCGTCTATTTCTAGCCATTAACCACCCTCCCTTCTTCCCCCTGTCCCCCGACAGGCTTTGGTAAGCAGTGAACTCTCTATCTCCTGAAGGAGATCCCCTCCTTCAGCTCCCACATATGAGTGAGGCCATGTGAAGTTTGTCTTTCTGTCCATGGCTTATTTCACTGAATATAATGACCTCCAGTTCCATCCCTGTTGTTGCAAATGACAGGATCTCATTCTTCTTTATGGCTGAATAGTACTCCATTGTGTACATGTACCACATCTTCTTTATCCTTTCATCTGGTATGGAAACTTAGGTTGATCCATATCTTAGCTATTGTGAATAGTGCTGCAAGAAACATGGGGTACAGATATCTCTTCAATATCCTGGTTTCCTTTCTTTTGGATATGTACCCGTTAGTGGGATTGCTGGATCATATGGTAATTCTGTTGTTAGGTGGTTTTTTTTTTTTTTTTTCAGAGATGGAGTCTCACTCTGTTGCCCAGGCTGGAGTGCAGTGACACAATCTCAGCTCACTACAACCTCCACCTCCTGGGTTCAAGTGATTCTCATGCCTCAGCCTCCCAAGGTAGCTGGAACTACAGACGTGTGTCACCACACCCAGCTAATTGTTTGTATTTTAGTAGAGATGGGATTTCAGCATGTTGGCCAGACTGGTCTCAAACTCCTGGCTTCAAGTGATCCTCCCACCTCGGCCTCCCAAAGTGCTGGGATTACAGGCGTGAGCCACTGCATCTGGCTTGCTTTTAGTTTTTAAAGGAACTTCCATACTGTTCTCCATAGTGGCTGAACTAGTTTACATTCCCACTAACAGTGTACAAGGAACACTTTCTCCACATCCTTGCCAGTGTCCATTGTTCCCTGTCTTTTTTGCAAAAGCCATTTAAAATGGGGTGGGATGATATCTCATTGTGGTTTTGACTTGCATTTCTTTCATGATTAATGATGTTGAGTACTTTTTGCATATATGTGAGCCATTTTTGTCTTCTTTTGAGAAATGTCTATTCAGATCTTTTGGCCATATTTTAATTGGAATTTTTTTTCTTTTTTCTTTTTTGCTATTGAATTGTTTGAATTCCTAGTACTATATATTCTGGTTATTAATCCCTCGTCAGATGAGTGGTTTCAGATATTTTCTCCCATTCTGTGCATTGTTTTTTCGCTTTGTTGATTGTTTCCTTTGCTGTGCAGAAACTTTTTAGCTTGATGTAATCCCATTTGTCTATTTTTGCTTTGGTTGCCTGTGCTTTTGAGGTCTTATACAAAAAGTCTTTGCCCAGACCAATGTCCTGCAAAATTTCCCCAATATTTTCTACTAGTAGTTTCATGGTTTTAAATCATATAAGCATTTAATCGATTTTGATGTGATTTTTTAATATAGTGAGAAATAGGGGTCCAGTTTCATTCTTCCACATATGGATATCCAGTTTTCCCAGTCCATCTATTGAAGAGACTGTCCTTTCCCCAGAGTATGTTTCTTGTGCATTTGTCAAAAATGAGTTGGCTGTAAGTGTGTGGATTTATATCTAGGTTCTCTCTTCTGTCCATTGGCTTATGTGTCTGCCAGTACCATGCTGATTTGGTTACTATAGCTTTGTAGTTTATTTTGAAGTTGCTATGATGCCTCCAGCTTTATTCTTTTTGCTCAGGATTGCTTTGGCTATTTAGGGTCTATTGTAGTTACATGTAAATTTTAGAATTGTTTTTTTCTATTTCTGTGAAGAATGACATTGGTATTTTGGTAGTGATTGTACAATTCTGTAAATTGCTTTGGGTGAAATTGTCATTTGCATTGAAATTCTTCCATTCTTCAAGCATAATGTATCTTTCCATCGGCTTTCATTTTTATTTCCCTAACACCTTCTCAGGTGGCTGTCTAGGCTTCCTTTGTGTTTCTCCAGCTGAGCTCTTGTTCCCATCCTGTGTCAGTTTCTCCATGGTTTTCTCTGTAGGAGTTCTTCATTCTTTTTTGTGCACTTATCCTTTGTCTCTTGTATTGGGTCCAACTATTTTCTCCTAGGCTTTTGCTTGCTTTTAAATTTTATTTAGAAGTTTTGTCCTACAGAATATTTAAACTTTGATGTAGCTAAAGTAATCATTTTTCCCCTCTGGTTTTTGCTTTCAGTTGTGTGTCTGTGTGTGTGTGTGTCCCTTACCCTTAAGGAATTTGACTCCCTGATTGTGTGTGTGCGTGTGTGCATGTGTGCATGCACGTGTGTGTGTATGTGTGTGTTTCTCTTACCTTAAGGAATTTAAATCCCTGATTTAGGTTCAAAATTTTTTCCGACTGTCCACTTCCCTGGTTGCTCAGGACATCCAAGCCCTGCCTTTCTGGCAGAGGGAGCCGGGAAAAGTTAACCTCTCTTTCTTCCTGTCCGTAAGCCTTGGGCGTCTGGGTGCCTGTAGCATTGCTCAGGTGACCGCTGGCCTTGGCAAGAACAGTTTGCATCAGGAGAAGAGGAGGGGAGGTAAGAACACACTGTGGGCATGATTCTTTGTATAATTTTTTTTGCCATGAAGAGAAGGAGGGGAATGAAGTGAGAGCTAGCTTGAGGTCAAGGCTGGGTTTATAGAGGCAGATCCTAGAGCAAGTTTCTGTTCTCATCAGATGATCCCACAGAGGTAGAGGGGAGAAACTGAGGAGGCGGGAGAGAGGGGTTCCTTGTAGGTGTGACCCCTTGAGACGACTCCAGTAGGGGTCTCTTTTAATCCTCTGTTTCCTCTTCTGTGTAAAGTGGTCAG